ACGATTTCATGAGTCCCACATGGAACTGGTATGATATAGTCGCACCTCTGCCCACTATATGCTCTTCAAAGAAGTGAAAGTACATGTCATACGTGTCATAACGAGCAGCCAAGCTTGCTTATTGGCACACTTATTTCTCCACTGTAAATGACATGACTCCTATGAGTGCATTATAAAAAAAGATGCGAAAATTAACAGGTTAAGTTTTCTCCTGAAGCAGCTCCAGTCCTTGGCATTGCTAGTGTGCAATAGGCAAATTCAGTTGAAGTCACGAACACAATAGGACTTCGCTTTGCCCAGGTATCCCAAGGGCCACACCTTTCTTGGTTTCCTTCGACAATTTACATCCCCTCGGGAATCTACTATGTCAGACTTGCATAGAGTAACCATATATTTTCTGTTAACCGCTCTCACAGCTGGTGTCGACGCTATCAGTGACAACATATGGCATCTGGGTGTGATGTACATGTCCTGCTGCAGCTTTTACACTAATGAGCAATGTACCTATTGTTATCTTAAATCATGTCTGGTCTACAGAAGTGGTACCCACACAGTGGATTATTATTATCAAAACAAAGCGCTAAACCCACTAGGGCCCACAGTGGAAATCCTCAATGGTAGTCTTCTTCAGGAACCAAGTATACGTCTTGGCCGTGATTATTATTATTATTACAATCAAGGGGAAAGCGCTAAACCCGGAGGATTATACAGCGCCTGGGGGGGGGGGGATGTGGAAGGCATTCAGGCTTAATTTGGGGAACTGGAGCACAGATCCAATTCCCTAAATCAAGAGCCCCTCACCAACATCAAGGAACCTTCCTTGAGGGGTCTTGGCCGTGATCCCTCCCATTATCTCTCTAGTTTCATTTGTAAATTATAGTTAGGAAGCTAGTGTGGTAATCGGAGGCACACAACTGTGTATCCCCCACATCAGTTTAGATACAGGAGGGGTGGTTCTAATGTTGATCCTTGAATTTGTCTCGATATATAATTTGCAATATATTTGTTGAAGGCTGGTTTATGGTGTAAGTCTTTTTTTTTTGACTTGGAAAATGCATATAGCACACTCTATCATAAATTATTTATGTTGATGGTTCTGTTCACCAATCCATGGGTGCAGTTGTAGTCATACAGAGTCATGGCTCTCATAAAAATTGGAGCACACATCAATAACTGAGCCTCTACTCTTCAAACAGAACTGTTTGCAATATTCCTTGCACTCAAATGTGTCCATGTATCTAAGGTTTACACTTTAATTGTAACTGATTCTCTGTCATCCATTAATGCTCTTAACTCATTAAGGAGGTGCGGGATTACCAAAACTGTTGTCCAGAGGGCTGAGGAAGGGTTGTTGAGGTGGTTCGGACATGTAGAGAGAGTGGAGCGAAACAGAGTGACTTCAAGAGTGTATCAGTCTGTAGTGGAAGGAAGGCAGGGTAGGGGTCGGCCTAGGAAAGGTTGGAGGGAGGGGGTAAAGGAGGTTTTGTGTGCGAGGGGCTTGGACTTCCAACAGGCATGCGTGAGCGTGTTTGATAGGAGTGAATGGAGACAAATGGTTTTTAATACTAAACGTACTGTTGGAGTGTGAGCAAAGTAACATTTATGAAGGGGTTCAGGGAAACCGGCAGGCCGGACTTGAGTCCTGGAGATGGGAAGTACAGTGCCTGCACTCTGAAGGAGGGGTGTTAATGTTGCAGTTTAAAAACTGTAGTGTAAAGCACCCTTCTGGCAAGACAGTGATGGAGTGAATGATGGTGAAAGTTTTTCTTTTTTGGGCCACCCTGCCTTGGTGGGAATCGGCCAGTGTGATAATAATAATAAAAACTCATTAAGTATAAATTGTGGCATGCTTGTGTCAGAAGTCAGACACAGGTATGGTAGGATTGTGGAGAGTGGAGTCGGAGTACACCTTCTGTAGATTCTATCTCACATTGGTCTTCAGATGCATGATAGAACTAATGAATTGGCTAAGTTATATGCCTTCAGAGAGGGAGTAGATCACAATCTTGGTTTGTCAGTTAACAGTTGGAGAACAATAATACGAAAAGAACTTTAAGGGAACTGAAGGGAGACTGACACCAGTCAGTCCATCTATCATCATTCTATCATGTAAGGGGAGCCACATGTCTACGGTGCACCCAGCAAAATAAGCAGACTCTTGGATGTCACTACCACCCCGTTCCAGTTGGGTTACAAGTTAAATCACCCCCACTAGATGTATTATTATTATAATAAAAAAGAAGCGCTAAACCACTCCACTAGATGTAGACCTAAAGAAATGTAAACTTTGCCAGATAGACAGTTGTCACACTTGCAACATTATGTACAGAAATGCAATAAAATTAATGAATTCAGAAGACAACTCACTCAGAAATGTTCAAGATATGCCAAAGTATTCATCCACAGAGGTATATTACAAACCATTCTGGAAAAATACGCTGACTTTGCTCACTGTAAATAAAGCATTACCACTAGTGTCTGCATAAATAACTCATTATGTCTGTGACCAGATATAAACCTGTAAATAGTTTATTATCATTGTAACTTTTTCAGCTATCAAAACTTTGTGGCCCAGCCCCTGGACCCATTATGTACCTCTGTAATCTTTTGACTAGTGCCCACAGGATGGCTATGGAATGCATAATAAAGATATTAAACTAAACTTAAAATGCATACAGTACGATATGGCATTATCAAGTCCATTCTTGTGGCCCGAGACCAATTCTTACCTTTTCTTAAAACCTTCATGACAGGTCGACACTTAAGTGTTTGGATCAATAACAGCTTCTCTTCACAGTTGTTCCAACAGAGGGCATTCCACAAGGCAGCATTCTTAGCACAACCCTGTTTTCATTAGTTATTAATGGATAAGCTTCAGGAAATTTAGTCCTCTTTAGTGTGAATGATTTCAATATTACTTGTGCTGGCATAAATATCTAGCAGGTGTTCACCTCCCTGTAGAGTGTAATTGACTGCATCTTGATGGGCTACATCACATGGCTTTAAATTTTCAGCATCTAAAAAGAACTCTTTTTATGTTTACTTGACAGCCTGTTATTCTCTCATTCGTGCTGTCTGTACCATTTCCCTATCCTTGTCTTGGTAAACTTAAATTTCCTGGCCTCTGTTTTAACTGTAGATTATTATTGTAATCAAAACCAAGCATTTAGTTGTAAAATGTCATGGAAATTAAGCATGACAACTCTAAAAGCAGCATATCTTGGCAGTCTGAATTTACCAAAAATTTTCACACCTTGCTTTGTAGGCAACAGGCAAGTTCTTCTCTTCATATGGTTTTATTTCTGTTAAAATTTAATTATTAGGATCAGGTGTATTTCTTTATTTCAGAATCTATTCTCTCCATACTTGATGTCATCCATCAAGGAATGCATTTGTAATGGTGTCTTTTTCTCAGCCCCAGTCAAGAGCCTTTATACAGTCTAATATTCCTTCATTTCAGGATCTTCTGGATTCCCACTGTATGCAGTTTGGTTCATTGTCAAGATCCTATGACCTCTAGAAAAATTATACATTAGTAAAGTTAACACTTTCAGTTGTCGTCTATCGCATCCTTTTAACTTTCAACTTCAGACTCTTAAGTTACTTCTCTCAATCTACCCTGTTCATTTTTCCATTCTTCCTTAGGAGGTACCAACGATTTAAGTATATCCCTCCTTTGTTTGCCAAGTCTCATAGCACTGCTACGAGCATGCTCTTCCTCTTCCTTGACTTTTTTCAATTGCCCTTACTTGCTAATATAGGAACACTCACTGGATATATCTAGCAATTTCACAGCAACTGTCATCCACATTGCTTCTCTTTTTACTTCTTTGTTGTACTCTTCATTTCTCAAAGTTCACTGTCAACTATTCAGAGCTGTGACTCCTTGCATGCCATCTTCGTTCACATGTGGCACTGCTGTATCTCCTGTTCAGCAAGCATAAAGACATTTTCTTCTGTTGAGTCCTTGGTCATTCTGGTGTACAGGGCAATGAACTTGCAGACTTTTCTGCACTTTCCTCAGCCCACCACTTGTCCATTTCCTGTGGGGATATACCCTGTTCAGAATAGTATTTTCTAGTTTTGTATAAGAGCATCCAGGATCAGTGGCAGTGTTGTTGGTCCATGTCAGGGGGTAAAAAGTTATTCTTGATTAAAGCACAGTTGGGTTCTTTGTGGACTTTTTTTATTGTAATGTTTGGGAAATGGGTCTCGCATGCGTGTTGGCCACAGAAGACTAATGGAGAGGCACCTGGCACCTCTCAGTGCAACTTATAAGATTTTGAGTTAAACACCTCATGCTTAAATTTTCCATTTGCCAAAGAGCATGTAAAATTAATTTTCTATCTGTTTTTCAGAACCTTGACACTCACATTACTTTTTTCCTTTGAGATTACAATTACTCTTGACATTTTGAAATATATACTGGGCCAATTTTAGCTTTCCTTATTAGCATTGCTGCTCTCCCCTTAGCCAAGAGCTCCCTTCAGCCTTTTGGTGATTGATGACCTGTACATGTTGAGTATATTTTGTGACTATAATAATAATGATATACATATTCACAAAGTTCTAAACCCTTAAGAGCCAGTCAGCTCTTGCTTTTTCATGCATAGTTATTTATTGCTCATTACCACATTCAAGGGGCAAGCACTAAAACCAGAAATTATATTGCTTGGGGGAATGGGAGGCAATAGTTTGATCCAAAGAAAAAGTTTAGGTCTATTTCCATGGATCAAGAGCCTTTTATCAGAATCTAGGCACCTTTCTTGAGAGGTATAGATACACAGAATAACTCTTCCAGAATATTCTAAGTTTCTTCACTCCATTGTAAGAGCAACACTGTTGAAAACTGTATCAGCTTTGTGTCTTAATTTCTTGAATACTCATTTCCTGTTCAAATTTAATATCAAGCATATTTGAGGGATACTGTAATTTAATGTTTATTTATTTGCTTTCATAAGTCAAAATTTATGTGATACATTGGCAAAGAAAAGTCGAAATATACTTACCAATAATTTATTTTGATACAACTATTATACAAGAAAAACTCAGTCTTCTTAAGCATTAGTACTGTACTTTTTTAACAACAGCCATCTCCCGCCATGGCAGGGTGACTCAAAGAAGAAAACACATTCGCTTAACTGACACCACACTCATACCACCCTTCCAACTGCAATATTCCCACCCCTCCTTCAGAGTGTAGGGATTGCCCTTCCCACCTCCAGGACTCAAATCTGGCTAACTGCTTTCTCTGAATCCCTTCATAAGTTACTTTACTCGTACTCCAACAGCATGGCAATTAAAAACCACTAACTATATCTTCATTCACTCCTAACATGCTCACACGAGCCTACTGAATGCTCAAGCCCCTAAAACTCAAAGCCTCTTGTACCTCTTCCATCTAACCATTTCAGAGACAACCCCTTCCCTTTCTATCTTCCACCCAAAACTTATACATTCTCTTTGTCAGCCTACTGTATATATTATAAAAATGTACTACAGTATTAATTACAACTGAATTCCTTCCAATGGTTCCATTATTCCCACAAGTGTATACTGCACTTCCAACAAAGGGCTTTCAGTAATTTTACATTCTTTAAACAATTGGATCATCATTTATGCTTTGATAGCTGCCCTGAGTTTGGCAGATCGAGCTCTAGGGTTGTTTACAACCTCTTCCTCCGAGGGCAAGACAACATGCTTGGTTACTGGACTCCAGTTTTTGGTCATTATGTTTTTCATTTCTGTGGATGAGTAACTGGATAAAGCACTTCGATGCTTCGTCACACCTAAGCCAATACTTTCATGTGATTTGTCAATATCCACACCTTAAAAATAAAAAAAGGAAAATTCAGAATCAGAAAATCATTCCATTAGAATTATTTTACCATCTAAAATTAGAAGCAAATACAATTCTGTTTTAAATACCCAAGGTATTGACATCTTTGAAATACTGCTGGAGAAAGGGGCAAGGGCTTTCAGGAAAGGGGGTGAGCAGGGAAAGAAGCAAGGGGAAATAAAGACATTGGTAACAGTATCCTTTTAATAAAACATTTTAGCCCAATGTGGGTAAAACATTGTATTAAATGGATTCTACTTGTTGGCTTTTCCCACTGTTTACCAGGTAAAAGGCATGCCATCAATATGGTGTTTTTCCTTGCGAGAGAGAGAGGCTTAATTCCAGAAGAGGCAATTGCATTCTTCCTTTGCTTTCTCAATATACGTAAGACTCAAAATAGAGCTATAAAAGGAAAGATCCCTGATTTACTTCCCAGTGATGTAATACTGTTTTAGTAAAATGTTTAGAAAAGTAAAGGTATAAAATATGATTAGACTCAGCATGTGGACTTCATTTGTATTAGTAATGCTCAATAATGAAAATAGATCGATATGATATTTTAAGATACGAAATCAGTTATAAATACAGTATATATGTAGTTCAAAACATTTTAGAAATTCTTGCACACTTTTAGCTGTTCTGTATGCACAGATTCTGAAGCAGTACTGGGTTGCCAAGCCCATGATGGCACTCTTCAGGTTGCTTGTTCTATCTAGGCTTTAATATTGCTGCACACTAACAGCACCTTTCCAAGCAGGTGAAATTGCTGACCTAGAATATGTAGAGAACCTTCATGGCACACATAACTGTGATAAAACACCTAAATTACTGGGAACGGTTGAGGTTCCTGAACCTGTACTCCCTAGAATGCAGGCGGGAGATACATGATTATATACACTTGGAAAATCCTAGAGGGATTAGTACAAAACTTGCACATGAAAATCATTCCCAGTGGCCTGGTGGCTAAAGCTCCCGCTTCACACATGGAGGGCCCGGGTTCGATTCCCGACGGGTGGAAATATTTCGATGCGTTTCCTTACACCTGTTGTCCTGTTCACCTAGCAGCAAATAGGTACCTGGGTGTTAGTTGACTGGTGTGGGTTGCATCCTGGGGGACAAGATTGAGGACCCCAATGGAAATAAGTTAGACAGTCCTCGATGACGCACTGATTTTTCTTGGGTTATCCTGGGTGGCTAACCCTCCGGGGTTAAAAATCCGAACGAAATTTCATCTTATCTTATGAAAGCAAAATTATTACTATAATCAAAAAGAAGCGCTAAACCACAAGGGCTATACAGCGCTGCTATGAAAGAAAAAGACTCAGCAGACGATGCAATATCCCTGCAATGAAAAGCAGGGGTACCACTAGCATGATAAGAGACTATACAATAAGTGTCAGGGGGCCCAAGAGTGTTCAGCTACCTCCCAGCATACATAAGGGGGATTACCAATAGACCCCTGGCTGTATTCAAGAAGGTGCTGGACAGGTACCTAAAGCGATTGGTGGAATGATGATGTAAAGAGAGTAGTAAGGAAGAAAAAGTTAGCATATGAGAAGTTTTTACAAAGTAGAAGTGATGCAAGGAGGGAAGAGTATATAGAGAAAAAGAGAGAGGTTAAGAGAGTGGTAAAACAATGTAAAAAGAGAGCAAATGAGAGAGTGGGTGAGATGTTATCAACAAATTTTGTTGAAAATAAGAAAAAGTTTTGGAGTGAGATTAACAAGTTAAGGAAGCCTAGAGAACAAATGGATTTGTCAGTTAAAAATAGGAGAGGAGAGTTATTAAATGGAGAGTTAGAGGTATTGGGAAGATGGAGGGAATATTTTGAGGAATTGTTAAATGTTGATGAAGATAGGGAAGCTGTGATTTCGTGTATAGGGCAAGGAGGAATAACATCTTGTAGGAGTGAGGAAGAGCCAGTTGTGAGTGTGGGGGAAGTTCGTGAGGCAGTAGGTAAAATGAAAGGGGGTAAGGCAGCCGGGATTGATGGGATAAAAGATAGAAATGTTAAAAGCAGGTGGGGATATAGTTTTGGAGTGGTTGGTGCAATTATTTAATAAATGTATGGAAAAGGGTAAGGTACCTAGGGATTGGCAGAAAGCATGCATAGTTCCTTTGTATAAAGGCAAAGGGGAAAAAAGAGAGTGCAAAAATTATAGGGGGATAAGTCTGTTGAGTATACCTGGTAAAGTGTATGGTAGAGTTATTATTGAAAGAATTAAGAGTAAGATGGAGAATAGGATAGCAGATGAACAAGGAGGCTTTAGGAAAGGTAGGGGGTGTGTGGACCAGGTGTTTACAGTGAAACATATAAGTGAACAGTATTTAGATAAGGCTAAAGAGGTCTTTGTGGCATTTATGGATTTGGAAAAGGCTTATGACAGGGTGGATAGGGGGGCAATGTGGCATATGTTGCAGGTGTATGGTGTAGGAGGTAGGTTACTGAAAGCAGTGAAGAGTTTTTACGAGGATAGTGAGGCTCAAGTTAGAGTATGTAGGAAAGAGGGAAATTATTTCCCAGTAAAAGTAGGCCTTAGACAAGGATGTGTGATGTCACCGTGGTTGTTTAATATATTTATAGATGGGGTTGTAAGAGAAGTAAATGCGAGGGTCTTGGCAAGAGGCGTGGAGTTAAAAGATAAAGAATCACACATAAAGTGGGAGTTGTCACAGTTGCTCTTTGCTGATGACACTGTGCTCTTGGGAGATTCTGAAGAGAAGTTGCAGAGATTGGTGGATGAATTTGGTAGGGTGTGCAAAAGAAGAAAATTAAAAGTGAATACAGGAAAGAGTAAGGTTATGAGGATAACAAAAAAATTAGGTGATGAAAGATTGGATATCAGATTGGAGGGAGAGAGTATGGAGGAGGTGAATGTATTCAGATATTTGGGAGTGGACATGTCAGCGGATGGGTCTATGAAAGATGAGGTGAATCATAGAATTGATGAGGGGAAGGGTGAGTGGTGCACTTAGGAGTCTGTGGAGACAAAGAACTTTGTCCTTGGAGGCAAAGAGGGGAATGTATGAGAGTATAGTTTTACCAACGCTCTTATATGGGTGTGAAGCATGGGTGATGAATGTTGCAGCGAGGAGAAGGCTGGAGGCAGTGGAGATGTCATGTCTGAGGGCAATGTGTGGTGTGAATATAATGCAGAGAATTCGTAGTTTGGAAGTTAGGAGGAGGTGCGGGATTACCAAAACTGTTGTCCAGAGGGCTGAGGAAGGGTTGTTGACGTGGTTCGGACATGTAGAGAGAATGGAGCGAAACAGAGTGACTTCAAGAGTGTATCAGTCTGTAGTGGAAGGAAGGCGGGGTAGGGGTCATCCTAGGAAAGGTTGGAGGGAGGGGGTAAAGGAGGTTTTGTGTGCGAGGGGCTTGGACTTCCAGCAGGCATGCGTGAGCGTGTTTGATAGGAGTGAATGGAGACAAATGGTTTTTAATACTAAACGTACTGTTGGAGTGTGAGCAAAGTAACATTTATGAAGGGGTTCAGGGAAACCGGCAGGCCGGACTTGAGTCCTGGAGATGGGAAGTACAGTGCCTGCACTCTGAAGGAGGGGTGTTAATGTTGCAGTTTAAAAACTGTAGTGTAAAGCACCCTTCTGGCAAGACAGTGATGGAGTGAATGATGGTGAAAGTTTTTCTTTTTCGGGCCACCCTGCCTTGGTGGGAATCGGCCAGTGTGATAATAAAAAAAAAAATATAATCAAACACATATACAATTCAGGAAGGATTATGTGCAATGTTTAATATATGGGTATCCTTGATCAACTTCACTTGTTTGGAAATAAAATAAGGATCACAAGTTATACACAGTTGCACAATGAAAACTAATATGACAAATGATTTTCTTTTAACCAGACTGACACTACAGAAGGGAATCTGCTAACCTGTTATGTGCCGTTTAACCACTGTATCTTCAAGTGAGTGGAAGGATATAGCCACCAAAATACCGCCACTTTTAAGATAATAATGAGCTAGGCGAAGACCGTAATCCAATTCATTTAACTCATTGTTTACAAGAATTCGAAGAGCCTGTAAAACAAAAGAAATTATGGAATGTCAATAAATACAGTATATGTCTGAACTGTAACTAAAATAAACTTTCATAACACACACACACACAATCTGAATTATAAGCTGAAAATGTTTGTAATACTATGAACAGAGAAACCACAAAGACCAAAGAAAGGTAATTAAACTGTTTACAGTTACGTGAACATAATGCTTAATATATTTGTTTGATTGGTCCTAATATATTCGTACATCACACTTCTGTCAGGCTTTCACACATACCGAATCTAAACATATTTATACCATCCTTTGATCCATACCTCAGCATCTTTTGGTATGTTTTTAATTGCAAGTGCAACAGCTGCAGCTTGGAGGATCACCTAACTGTCATGTCTGCACACTTCTGGCAAGACAGCAAATGAGTACTGGTGAATGTGTTCTCTATTTTTGGGTTACCTACCTGAGTGGGACTAAATTCCATGCAATATGCATGCACTTGAATGGAGATATACATGCATTATGTTTGGCAAAAGACAGTGTCGAAGTTCTCATGTGTGGAACTAGTTTTTTTTAATATCCCAAGTACAGTATTACAAATAAAACTACTTAGCTCTACATATTCTCATTATTTTTTTTTTTGTCTTTTCCCAATTACAATTTTCTTTCATTCTATATGTATTCTCTCACTTTCACTCACACTAACATTTTTCATTACAGGTGGTATAATAATAATAAAAAAAAAAAATAAACCTGGAATGTTTTGGTTGCTGGATGGGAATATCTCTGTAGCTTATCCAGTCTGTATTGATCTCCCATCAATGACAATACTAGCTCGGTCAATTCTTTGGTGGTGTGAAGCTTTTTGAACAAATGACGGGACTCTAGCACACCACGAGAAATCTTTCGAGCATTGCTTTCTTCACCATAGTATTTGAGAATTTTGTACAAGGAATCTTCATCTATGTGACTTAATATCTGAGAAGCTGTCATCTGCTTTGGATCTCTGAAAAAAAAAAAAAAAAAAAAGAAGCAGAATTAAAACCTCCAAATATACAACATGCCACCAAGTAACTGGAAAAACTGAATATCTCATGGGTCAGCAGATTACAACTGTAGCAGGGAGGAATAAATAATAAGGAACAGTAATGAACAAAGATGCAGTGTAACTGTGACATTATCATAATAAAAATTTGCTCTACCCATGTATCTTTTCTTCATTACTGTGAACTGTATAATTTTGTCCAGCTGTAGCAGGAATGAGTAGGAAGAAATGAGTAGTAAGGAACAGTATGAACAGTGATGGTCCCACCATAGAACCTTAACTGTTGGGTATTGAAAACAAAACTAAATGACACTCCCAACACCATTAAGACAAAATCTGGGAGCTTTTAGCACTGTATCACCAATTCACTTGTGAAGCTAATATAAAGTAAACCCATCAACAACTACAAGTGTCCTATCTCTTGCAACATAAGACCATTAACCTGAGATCATTTCACCCAACTTATTATTATCATGTCATACTGATCCTCGTATTTGCTTGACAAAGCTCTACTTAGAGTAAAATTCTGTAAATAAAGGTTTGCTTTGTACACTGTTATTTTACCATAGGCTTAACAAAAATATACTCTTCCAACTGCAATTTTCTCTAAAGTTACAGCAAATCTACATACTGTTTTCTTTATAAATAAAAATAGTTATTTTATACTTCTACTCTGCTATAGCAAAATTTATCCTCAGTGCTGCTAGAGTAATCTGAGACAAATAAGTTTAACAGTGCTAAATACATTAAATTACCCCATCTGGTCTGTAGGAGGAGAATACTGCCAACAGTCTCATACTTCTCAGAATCGTTCACAATTTTAATTTTCATGTGCAATACTTAGTACTGCATGACTCAAGAAATCGTAATGACACGATTGCAAACAAACCATACCCCCGGCCGGGATTGAACCCGCGGGTTCAATCCCGGCCGGGGGTATGGTTTGCTTAGTACTGCATCTCTATTTATGGGGTGCAATTATATGTACCATTCACCAAATTATTATTACTACATTCATGTGGAAGCACTGAATTGACAGATCAAACAGTACTTGGGGAATGGGAAATAATCAGGCCTGTTAACTATGTAACAAACTTTGCATAGTAGCTTTACCTATTACTATCCATGCGCATATCGAGAGGTCCATCCTTGCTAAGCATAAATCCTCGCTCTGGTGTATCAAATTGCATTGATGATGCACCCAGATCCATCAGCGCCCCATTGAAGAAATTTTTTTTCAATTTCAGTTTTGAGAGAAGGTCAGGTAACTCGCTGAAAACATATGACCTTTCTATCAGGAACATTCTATAAACCCTTTCATAAATAATTATACAAGCTTAAATTATAATCCAATATACAGATATTAATAACAGTAGATAAAATCATATACAGTATTTTACCTAAATCTTCCCAAGAGTGGCAGGACCCTCTCTGGATATTTCCCCTGTAATTCTTTTGCATATTCAAAGGCAGTTGGGTCTCTATCTAAGCAGACAATCCGAACACCTGGGGTACTTTCTAAAATTTTACGAGAATGGCCTCCACTTCCAAAGGTCATATCTAAAATGACATCATTATCTCTTGGCTTGAGAAACTCTAACACCTCCTCTGCCATGACAGGAATATGAGGGGAGTGTTTATTGTTAGATGGTTGGTTCTCTCTCTCTTCACATGCAAACGTTTCTGTCTCACTTGATACACATTTTCTCAACACAGAGAACACTGGAAATCTAACATGATTAACCACATCTTTGATTGTCACAGCATTCTCGAAAGATCCTCCAGCAATCCTTATCATATTCTTTAACATTAATGAAGTCATTGTTATTATAAGAAAGAATAAAACAGAAGTATTGTACAGTATCAAGCAAAAACAGCTTAAGCACAAAATACAAACAGTAATTATAGAGTAATTAATTTTTCTTGAATAGGCGTGCAAAGAATCCCTTATCCTCATGTTCCATCATATTTAAAAATTCCTTGGATACCATCTGTTTGCACTCAGCTCCCGAAAGGCCTGTTGCTGTACTGTTCAGTGAACGTGGGTAACTGGAAAATAATATAATGAGATTACTAGCTATCATCATATAAAATGTTAATATGGGTGCACATATATGATAAATTTGTTATTAAGTAAATCAGAGGTAATTTCCAGCAAAATTTATGAATGTTTTAATGATTTTTGAGAAAAATTGAATTACTGTACTGTATTTTAACTTATAAATCAGTTTTGTTACCAAGATACTAACTGTTTAGCATATACATTTGTAGCTATACGATTAAGAGAAGCATATATCCTTTGGCAATGTTCTTCATCTACAGCTGTGGCATCACCATGCTTAAAGCCCTCTGTAACACGAAGACGCAAATGTTCACCAAGATCCCTGAAAATAAGATAATATAAGGTTTATACAGAAAATCTACAAATAATTTTACAGACAGTACTACTGTTTGTAAAGTGATTCTGAAAGCACATAGAAGACTTTATTCACATTACTAAACCAGAAGCCAAACAGTGTGGCTTAGTCCCGTGGTATGTTGGGCTTGTTTCTTTACACCTGCTGTCCCTGTTCACCAGGGGCATTGTAAGGGGGGTGGGCTGCCCCGGGTGACACCATTTAGGGGGTGACATCATAGAGCCTCTAAAGAAGGTGACACTAATGCCCAAAACAGTGCTGCAGCAACATAAGAGAAAAATCCTTGGTTTCTATATAGCCTATTATATATGTATTAAAAAAGTACAAATAAGCCTATATGGGGAAAATCATTGATTTTGATGATGTAATAAATGATTTTGCATAAGTGAAGGCAAGGAAATGTAAGATCAGATTCACTGAGATGTTACCTGTACTCAAGGTCAAATTGGAACTAGTATTTCTCTGATATTGCAATGTTTTTCTTTATTTTTCAAGTTTTTTTTTGTTTTGGCATTTGTTAAAGATGAATAAATGTAGGATCTGTTGCCTGTACTCAAAGTGGTATTTGAGTTTATGTTTCCTCAATATTACTACAATTATTTATTTTATCATTAATAAAGTTGAGAAGTATTCTCCTGTTCAGTTTATGGTCCTTAAACGTTCTCATTGCTAAACATTAGTTACTGGTCATGCAGTAGTGACGTAACTGGAGTTTACCCCCCATCCCCCCGGCCTTGAATTTCATGGGGGTGACACCAAAGATGCTGCCCCGGGTGACACCAGAGATTCCGCCCCGGGTGACACCAACTCTAGCAATGCCTCTGCTGTTCACCTAGCAGTAAATAGGTACCTGGGTGTTAGCCAACTGTTGTGGGTTGCATTCTGGGGGACAAAATTAAGGAAAAACAGTCTTGATGACACACTGATTTTATTGGGTTATTCTGGGTGGCTAACCCTCACTTGGGTTAAAAATCTGAACAAAATCATATCTATTTCCATTGAGGTCTATTTTTAAGGTCCTTCCCTGGGATGCAACCTATAATTCAACTAACTCCTAGGTACTGTATTTACGTAATGCTAGGTATCAGGCAGCAGGTGTTAGATTTACCCATACATCTTGCATCATATGGGATTTGACTCCAAATTTAGCAATGTAAAGAACCTCAATAAATTATTATTATATTTGTTTGGTAGTGCTAAACCTGTATAGGTCATGCATCACCTGAGTTATGAAAGTACATGTAATCAGGTTTGGTCCAAGAAAGTAGAGTTTTGGTCCAATTCCCTAGATGAAGAGCTCTTTACTCATGAAAATGCTTACTTTCTTTGCAAACATCAAATATTTTAATCCTTGAAATATGAATTAAAGTAAACTCTAGGATTATTTTTACTTTTTTTTTATTATCACACTGGCTGATTCCCACCAAGGCAGGGTGGCCCGAAAAAGAAAAACTTTCACCATCATTCACTCCATCACTGTCTTGCCAGAAGGGTGCTTTACACTACAGTTTTTAAACTGCAACATTAACACCCCTCCTTCAGAGTGCAGGCACTGTACTTCCCATCTCCAGGACTCAAGTCCGGCCTGCCGGTTTCCTTGAACCCCTTCATAAATGTTACTTTGCTCACACTCCAACAGCACGTCAAGTATTAAAAACCATTTGTCTCCATTCACTCCTATCAAACACGCTCACGCATGCCTGCTGGAAGTCCAAGCCCCTCGCACACAAAACCTCCTTTACCCCCTCCCTCCAACCTTTCCTAGGCCGACCCCTACCCCGCCTTCCCTCCACTACAGACTGGTACACTCTTGAAGTTATTCTGTTTCGCTCCATTCTCTCCACATGTCCGAACCACCTCAACAACCCTTCCTCAGCCCTCTGGACAACATTTTTGGTAATCCCGCTAGGATATATGCACGTATATTAATTTTCTTTCCTTATTAATTTAAATCAGCATTATACAGAGATATTACACTACATGTAAGTAATTTGCATGCATTATTTTAATTATACTGGGGTCATAACCATATTAAATATATAATGAAAACAAGTCTTTACTGTGTATTCTTAGGCTAAGACAGTTGATAAAAATGTAAACTTGTTTAATGAACATGAATAAAAGTTTACCTATAAATGCTGTTATGATGACTTAACCTAGATTACCCTGACAATTAAGTAAAGAAACACTAAACCTAGAGAAGGGAGGGGGACTATCAGGTTTGATTCAAGGAAGGAGAGCCCCTCGCCTCTAAGGTATGATTGCCTATAATGTGTGGTTTGTTACCATTCTTAACATCAAGTGCTGCATGTATGTATTATTATTACTATTATAATAAAAAAGAAGCGCTAAGCCAACTTCCTGGCAGATCAACTTCCTGGCAGCTGAAGCATGTTCTAGGCATATTCCCCTAAGAAAGAAGAGCAGGAGTAAACTGGAGAGAGAAAGACGCTCCCTCTTCAGAAGACGACGAAGAGTCACTGAGCTCCTCAGGAGTGCTAGAATATCTGATACACGAAAGGAGGTGCTGACCAGGGAAGTGGAAACTATCGAACTCAAGTTAAATGACTCTTACAGGAACCAGGAGAGACAGGAGGAACTTAAAGCTATTAGTGAAATTGAAAGAAATTCAAAATATTTCTTTTCATATGCTAAAAACAAGGCAAATACCACATCTAGTATCGGGCCCTTACTCAGACAGGATGGGACTTACACAGATGACAACAAGGAAATGAGTGAAATACTATTGAAATCCCAGTACGACTCTGTGTTTAGTGAACCACTAATCAGTCTGAGGATTGATTACCCAAATGATTTCATGAATGAGCCTCAAAACTCCATAAATGTATGCCAGATTTCCGACATCACCCTAACTCCGATAGATTTCGAAAAAGCCATTGACAACATGCCCATGCACTCAGCCCCGGGCCCAGACTCGTGGAACTCTGTATTCATTAAGAACTGCAAGAAACCCCTCTCATGTGCCCTAAGTACACTATGGAGGAGGAGCTTGGACATGGGTGAAATTCCACAGTCACTTAAAACAACGGATATAGCCCCACTCCATAAAGGTGGCAGCAAAGCATTAGCTAAGAACTATAGACCAATAGCTCTGACGTCCCACATCATAAAAACCTTGGAAAGAGTGCTAAGAAGCAGGATTGCAAATCACCTGGATTCCCAAAATCTGCACAATCCAGGGCAACATGGGTTCAGGGCAAGTCGCTCCTGCCTCTCACAACTACTGGATCACTATGATATGGCCTTGGATGCACTGGAAGAAAATCAGAATGCAGATGTAATATACACAGACTTTGCAAAAGCATTTGACAAATGCGATCATGGCGTAATAGCCCATAAAATACGTGCTAAGGAATAACTGGGAAAGTGGGGAGATGGATTTTCAACTTCCTAACAAATCGAACACAAAGAGTAGTGGTCAACAGAGTTAAATCAAAGGCTGCCATAGTGAAGAGCTCTGTTCCACAAGGCACAGTACTCGCCCCCATCTTATTCCTTATCCTCATATCAGACATAGACAGAGATATACACCACAGCACCGTATCATCCTTTGCGGATGACACTAGGATCTGCATGAGGCTGTCATCTGCTGAGGACGCGGTTAACCTCCAAGAAGATATAAACAAAGTTTTCCAATGGGCAACAGTAAACAATATGATGTTCAATGAGGACAAATTCCAACTACTCAGTTATGGAAAACTGGAGGAGATAATAACTAGAACAGAGTATACTACAGACTCTGGCCATACAATAGAGCGGAAAAATAATGTAAGGGACCTGGGAGTAGTAATGTCTGAGGATCTCACTTTCAAGGATCACAACAGTGCCACGATCGCAATTGCAAAGAAAATGATAGGATGGATAATGAGAACGTTCAAAACGGGAGATGCAAAGCCAATGATGATCCTTTTCAAATCACTTGTTCTCTCTAGGCTGGAATACTGCTGTACATTAACATCTCCATTCAAAGCAGGTGAAATCGCAGATCTAGAGAGTGTACAGAGATCCTTTACTGCACGTATAAGTTCTGTCAAGCACCTTAACTACTGGGAACGCTTGGAAGCACTTGACTTGTACTCGTTGGAACGCAGGAGGGAGAGATATATCATAATCTACACTTGGAAAATCCTGGAAGGAATGGTCCCAAATCTGCACACAGAAATCACTCCCTACGAAAGTAAAAGACTGGGCAGGCGATGCAAAATGCCCCCAATTAAAAGTAGGGGCGCCATTGGTACACTAAGGGAAAACGCCATAAGTGTCTGGGGCCCAAGACTGTTCAACAGCCTCCCATCAAGCATTGCGGGAGTTACCAATAAACCCCTGGCTGCCTTCAAGAGAGAGCTGGACAGATACCTAAAGTCAGTGCCGGATCAGCCGGGCTGTGGTTCGTACGTTGGACTGCGTGTGGCCAGCAGTAACAGCCTGGTTGATCAGGCGTTGATCCACCGGGCCGCGGGGGCGTTGATCCCCGGAATAACCTCCAGGTAAGCCACAAGGGCTTACATGTATGTAACTGGTATATCTGAATTAAATTAGGGTAATTATGGAGATCTGGTCCTTATGTGTTTGGCCAAAATATAAATTTATTATTTTCGATATCTCCAAAAATAATAATTTGTACAATAATTAATTTGTGCTGGGGTATGGATAGCATGATTACATTAAACCGAATTTCTCAAAAGGACCAGAAATCCATATGAGCACGAGCCCCATATTGATTGAAGCGGTAAACCCATAGGGATCCCACAGAGTCGTTGGAATGTGAGGTAATTTGGTTTAATTCAGGGGATGGGTAGTATCAAGCTACCAGTGTCTAGGATTCCACCTAATAAGATTTTTTTTTTTTTTTTTTTGGGGGGGGGGGTATTTTTTTCATCTATTGAGCTGTTTTCTGGTTTCTTACAATTAAAATAGAAAGACATACCGTCCGGCGCCTTTTGTTGAATCGACCGGCCATTTATCAAGCAATCTCATAAAATTCCGGTAGGTGCTTCTGGCCATTCTTGGGCCGGATGATTCTTGTTGTTGGGTTTATAAGAGCTACTAACAGCTTACCAGGTATCGAACCCGGCTTCATGGGGAAAGTTGAGCCATGAAAGAAAAGGGAACAGGAAAGTAAGTTTATTCAGGTATACACAAATACAGTTACATAGATTATCATACATAGCAGCATATATGTAGAGAACCTAAGATAACCCAAAAAAGTCAAAGTGATTTATTTCAATTGGGGTCCTTTTATTGCCTTATTATTGTACTATCAAAGAGATAATATCTTATTATTATACTATAAAGGAAATATACTAGGAATAAGTTAAAAAGAGTTATTTACATATACATGTGTGTTAGCTAAAAAAATTATTCTGATGCTACATTCATTAGGTACCTTTAGGCTCTCTTCTTGAACTGGTTCATGCTATGACTGGCTTTGACATGTGTGGGCAGTCTGTTCCATTCCTTTATTGCTGTACAATAAAAGGTGTTTGAAGCCTGGACACTGACTGTGGGTACTACAAAGTTGTGCTCTCTCCCCCTAGTACTATGATTGCTTTGGTTCCCAACCTTGACAAAATTGACAGCAAGATATTCTGGACACTGTTTGTGAGCAATTTTATAAACTTGATTTATCTTCAGTTGTTTTACTCTGTCTTCAACATTTAGCATATCCAATTGTTGTAATTCATCCTGGCCTACATGTTCTCTTGGATCCAGGTCCAGGATGAATCTTACCATTTTGTTCGGTGTCCCTTTGTAAATAGAAACGGGAACTAAAAGTTCACCTTAATAATAATAATAATAATAATAATAATAATAATAATAATAATAATAATAATAATAATAATAATATCTTTATTTCTACAAGTACATGTACAAGGTATACAGGTCTAGCTGACATCAGTGACATACTACAACATAGAGAGCCGCTTGTTATGCAGAGCATTTCTGGCAAATTAAGTCAGTTTTGTCCCAGGATGCGACCCACACCAATCGACTAACACCCAGGTTCCCATTTTATTGATGGGGAACATGAGCAACCGGTGTAAGGAAATACGCCCAATGTTTCTACCCTTGCTGGGAATCGAACCCGGACAACTCGCCGTGTGAAGCGAGAGCTTCAGCCACCAGGCCATGAGGCACCGTGGTGGACCCTCTTCACAAACACCAGCAGAGCGGGACGCCCACATCCTCACCTATAAAAACCAAACCAATCCACGGTTGGGGATAGAACCTGCGATCAGAGAGTCTCAAAACTCCAGACCATTGCGTTAGCCACTGGGCCAGCTAGCCACAATAAGATTCATCCAACTAGGTATGTTGTGGCTAGCTGGCCCAGTGGCTAACGCGACGCTCTGGAGTTTTGAGACTGATCGCGGGTTCTCTCCCCACCCGTGGTATGGTTTCCTCACCTAAGTTTAGTAACCGGCTTTCCACCCAAACCGTTGAAGAATTATTCGCAGATCGGAAAAATGGAGCCGACTAAAATTAAGCTGATGAAAGGCGCCCCTCCTGTAGCGTACCCGTCGGGTGAAGTAAATGCAGACAAGCGTCCCAGAGAGAACGAGGGAAATTTATCACTGATGATCAAACGAGAGAGAAACTTCCACACTCGACGAGGACTGGCAATGGAAATAAGTCACTCTGACTTTTTTGGGTTATCCTAGGTTCTCTACACATATGCTGCTATGTATGATAATTCTATGTAACTGTATTGTGTATACCTGAATAAATTTACTTACTTACTTACTTACTTACTTACTAACTGAAAATGTTTATTTGTGTGGCTTACATATTATAAAATATTAATTACAAATGGCACTAGTATGCCTAGGCATTTCGGGCAGACTAAAAGTAATGCCTTCTGGCCATTACTACAGTAAATGCTAGCAAGTTAGTGATATTGCTGTTGGTTTATTAAGGAGTACCAAACCTTCCCATAACTTAAGAAATTATTTCTTCGGATTTTTAACCCAGAGGGTTAGCCCCCCAGGATAACCCAATAAAGACAGTGCCTCATTGAGGGACTGTCTGTCTTATTTCCATTGGAAGTCCTCAATTTTGTCCCACACGATGCGACCCACACCAGCCGACTAACACCCAGGTACCTACTTGCTTGCTAGGTGAACGGGACAGCACCTTCCCAATGTTTCCACCCATGTCGGGGATTGAACCCCGGACACTCTTCGTGTGAATTGAGAGCGTTGCCAACCGAGCCACGGGCCAACATTACTTTTAAGGAGTCCAGGAAAAATATGTTGCTAAATATGTGCGGGAACTGTAAAACAGAAATCCTCCGGAGAGAGAGATGGGACCGGTAAGTTTTCAATTAGATCAAGTGGACCCCCTGTCCCTAAACATAGAAGAAAATGATGCACGGCGCCCTGATCAGTTGCCCTGAAAGCTAAAGAGTGTAAATATCGTCAATAATACCTGGAGTGGATAAATTAGACACATGGGTGTTTCGGGGGTCAACGTCCCAACGGTCCGCTCCATGACCAAGCCTCATGGTGGATCAGGGTCTGATCAACCAGGCTGTTACTGCTGGCCGCACGCAAACTGACGTAAGAACCACAGTCCGGATGGTCAGGTATTGACTTAAGTTGCCTGTTCAGCGCGTCTTGAAGACAGTCAGGGGTCTATTGGTAATCCCTTATGTATGTTGGGAGGCAGTTGAACAGTCTTGGATCCCTGACACTTATTATGTTGTCTCTTAAACTGCCTTTCGTGCAGCAATTTTTGAGTATCTATCCGATTAGCTTCAACTCTTCCAAGATGGTAACTTAATAATGAAACTTCTAAAGAAATTGGTCTTTTTGATCTCCATTAAGGACTAGAATTTGATGTTGGCTGTGTAATATCCATGTTTGCCATTTTTTATTGAAAAAAAAATTGTATATTAGCTTCCTTATAATGACTTATGAATAATACTTCTGATTCCTTTCAAATCTTCAGTGTCAATATTTAACTGCAGTATCACCTTAAGCCGCACTCTGCACTATTCCAACTCTTGCACTGAGTCGCGGTGGACTGGGGTTAAGGAACACAGGGATACCTTTATCAGATCGCACAGAGACAAAAATACTACACATTTTACTCTATAAAACTAGTGTAAAAGTTTCCACTTATGAGCGGGTGTTATTATATTAGAAAATAGGCACCAAACCCGTATGGGTAATGCACCTGTAACCGTGTAACCTCTTAGATGATATTGTTGGTCTCTCAAGGGAGGGTCTTTGATGCCGGTGAGGGGTTCTTGATCCAAGGAATTGGACTAATCTTCCCCTTGGATCGAACCTCTATTGGTTTAGCACTTCCACTGATTGAATTCAAATTCAAATTCAAATTCAAAGTTTATTCTCTATAAAGATTACAAAGTTGAATTTACAGAATTTGGTTGTTGTGTGGTTTACATGTAGTTAAATAATGATTACAGAGTGTACCACTAGAACGCCTAGCATGGCTAGGCATTTCGGACAGACTTAGTTTAATTCTTTATTTTAAAATATTACAAATTATGAGGTAAGTTGGTATTATGGCTAAGTGACTAAATACTAGTTTGTGAGTTTAGCAATGTGAATGCTTTTGTTTTGGCACAGTACATAGTTTCAGTATTGGAGTATCATAGGATTCATTATTTTAAGATTGAGATTAATATTTCTGTTTATGGTCAAATGGGTGGAGTGAGTGTAAGTGTGAACCACCAGGTGGTATTCGTTGTAGTTAGTTGACGGGGTTTATCAGGGAGATAAGATGTTTTCTAATGGTAGTTTTGAAGGTGATGAATGTGTCTGCAGTTCTAGAGTTCTCAGGTAGGGTGTTCCAGATTTTAGGGCCTTTGACATACATTGAATTTTTGTAAAGGTTTAGTCGGACATGGGGAATGTCGTAGAGATGTTTGTGTCTGGTGTTATGCCTGTGGGTTCTGTCACAACTATCAAGAAAGCGTTTTAGGTCAAGGTTGATATTGGAGTTTAAGGTCCTGTAGATGTAGATTGCACAGTAGTAAGTGTGGATGTACTGAACAGGGAGTAAGTTTAGATCTATGAAGAGTGGGGGGGGTGTTGCCAGGGATGGGATTTAGTGATTATTCTTACTGCAGCTTTTTGTTGGGTTATTATTGGCTTTAGGTGTGTTGCTGCAGTTGATCCCCAAGCACAAATGAACATAATTTATTATGTATCATATTCCTGTATATACTGTATATATTTAATTGCTGTCTACTGTAATAAAACAATTAAATATGGAGATAAACCATTGACTTCTGGGGGTTTACCTAGGTAATTTACACATAGGTTACTATGTAAGACAATTGTAGTCATCCAAAAACTATGTAAAATTGTACCTAAATAAATTTACTTGCCAGAAATATTTTCCTTTACAGACGTATGAATGGCTCATTACTTTGTAATTTGTTCATGATTGTAACCATGTATAGACATGTAGATGATTCATTACCTTTGTAACTTGATCATGATTGTGACCAGATCTACCTGGAGTTCATTACCTCTGTAACTAGTTCATCTATCATAACTTTGGGGTCCAGTCCCTGGCCCATTATGTACCTTTGTAATGTTTTAACTACCATCCACAGGATGGGTCGGGATGCATAATTAAGATACATGTATTAAACTAACTCTGCAGAATAAGTGGCTTTTATTCATCATTCATTTGTATCAAATTTCATCTGTATTACAACTGTTGCAAAAACTGTAACCAAATATAAATCTAATGTGTAACTTCTATATATGACTATTAGAAATAAATACTTTTGTTTACGTATTTTATTTCTTAGGAAGAGACATATGAAGATGGTTGAGAGGAATAAATTAGGTTAGTTGTCCCTGTAACCCAACAGACGTAAACAATGGCTAGTCACAGCGTGAAGATTCTAGTCTTAATTGCTATTTCCCTCGCACATACCTCATACGGCAGAGACATAGAAAGAGAGATGACGATAGAGGTTAAACCCGGCACTGAGGAATGTTTCTACGAGATGGTGAAGGCTGGAGAGACGCTAGATGTGGAGTATCAGGTAAGTTGTTAAGAGGTGGTGATAGTAGTCCCTGTGACACGTCACCCTAATACTATGACCTACATCTGCTCTTACTATTTATCCTTTATTTTAGCCACTTACTATCCTTAATAAATAAACATTAAAAGTTCATTGAGGTGAGGTTATGTGATATTATAGAAAGAAGGCTTTATTTGAATTATTTATTGAGAGGGTTAATAACTCGAGAAGGCTATAAATTTGGCTCATTTCAATTGGCCCTCTTTCCCAGGATGCCACCCACAACAGTTAACTAACACCTAGGTACAGTACCTATTGCTAGTTGCTTTAAGGTAACCGATGTGAGGGAACATGACAAACCTCCACTCCCAACAGTGCCTCACTTGTGAGCTGAAGCTGCTACCAGTAAACTACAAGCTGGTAATAAGTTTATGCTTGAAATTCAGCATTCCCAGTTTAGTGTTATTTTAAGTCTAAAATTTGTATACTTTTATATCAAGGTTCCAGTTAACCACCAGCATAATTATTAATCAATTGAACATGTCATGAAACTATCTATATGACATTAACATGCTATTCTAATAAAGCTGCAAAACAAAGCTTAGTCAAAACCTATTGATATGCACAGTACTCGCTCCCATCTTGTTCCTCATCCTCATATCTGACATAGACAAGGATGTCAGCCACAGCACCGTGTCTTCCTTTGCAGGTGACACCTGAATCTGCATGACAGTGTCTTCCATTGCAGACACTGCAAGGCTCCAGGCGGACATCAACCAAATCTTTCAGTGGGCTGCAGAAAACAATATGAAGTTCAACGATGAGAAACACGATGGTAAACACGAGGAAATTAAATCTTCATCAGAGTACAAAACAAATTCTGGCCACAAAATAGAGCGAAACACCAACGTCGAAAACCTGGGAGTGATCATGTCGGAGGATCTCACCTTCAAAGACCATGACATTGTATCAATCGCAGCTGCTAGAAAAATGACAGGATGGATAATGAGAACCTTCAAAACTAGGGATGCCAAGCCCATGATGACACTCTACAGGTCACTTGTTCTATCTAGGCTGGAATATTGCTGCACACTAACAGCACCTTTCAAGGTAGGTGAAATTGCTGACCTAGAAAATGTACAGAGAACCTTCACGGCGCGCATAACGGAGATAAAACGCCTCAATTACTGGGAGCGCTTGAGGTTCCTGAACCTGTATTCTCTGGAATGCAGGCGGGAGAGATACATGATTATATACACCTGGAAAATCCTAGAGGGACTAGTACCGAACTTGCACACGAAAATCACTCACTACGAAAGCAAAAGACTTGGCAGACGATGCAACATCCCCCAATGAAAAGCAGGGGTGTCACTAGCACGTTAAGAGACCATACAATAAGTGTCAGGGGCCCGAGACTGTTCAACTGCCTCCCAGCATACATAAGGGGGATTACCAACAGACCCCTGGCAGTCTTCAAGCTGGCACTGGACAAGCACCTAAAGTTGGTACCTGACCAGCCGGGCTGTGGCTCGTACGTTGGTTTGCGTGCAGCCAGCAGTAACAGCCTGGTTGATCAGGCTCTGATCCACCAGGAGGCCTGGTCACAGACCGGGCCGCGGGGGCGTTGACCCCCGGAACTCTCCAGGTAAACTCCAGGTAATTATAATGCACATCTTATGATGATGAATACTTGCTCTTGGGTATTTTGCCAAAACCTCGCACAATCATAAATCACTCAAGGTGAGTCTGTTTACTGCAAGACAGACAAACAACAGGTGTGAAGAGATTTGCTTGTGCCATAGTTTACACCCATTTGGGATTGAACCTGGGTACTTAAGGTGCAAGTTGAAACCACCACTACTGAGCTATGTAAATTTACAGAATAGCAGATATTGCTTTTGTTTCTAAATAGCCCTTACAGTATTTCTGAAATGTTTTTTTCCCATCTTCTGGCAAGGTTTGTTAGAACTCTTTCCCTAGTAGCTTTGTCTTATTGACTAAAATTCTGGGATGGGGTTAGTCATCCTTTTTTATATGGAGTATGGAGGTAGTAAATACATTTAGATATTGTGATGAATTTGGGAGTAGCTAACTCAGCAGATGGGCTTATTAAAGTTGGGATGAATCTGGGAATAGATAAGGGAAAGATAGTGACAGGAGTGTTAAAGCTTTGTAAAGTAAGTTTGTCAACAGATGTCCAGTGAAACTTCTCATTAACAGACTAATAGGGAGGAGGAGGTGTACAATAATGCTGATTGTCTGCAACTCCTGAATTATGAAATTAATATTCATGATTGTCCTGTTTTCTTCTGAAGTAGTCCACTGATGCAAAAGACAACCAGAAGCTGAGAATATGTTTATATTCTACAGTATGTTTATATACTACAGTATAGTACAGTACTGTATTGAATAGTAATTTTATAGTACTCTATGTAATTTTACATTCCTTTTCGTGAAAGAGAGATGAGGTGCGAACTGCCATGATTGATAGTGGTGATTCTGAGTCAGAGGAGCTGTAAAGTTCTTCTACTAGACTTAGCCTGATACTTCAGAAGATATCCACACATAAATCTACACATCGCTATGGATGATGTGTAGAATTATGGACTTATGTCCATTTTGTCTAATTAAAGTGTTTGTCTGGCCAAGTTTTTGTCTGAAATTGCCAGAATTTGTCAGTGAGAGGCTTTACTGTACTGTATATTCGGTTTAGGATACCTTTGAATATTTTTGGAGGAAATAATTAATTAAATTAAAAATTCTGTGTGCAGTGTCTGAGACAAGGAGATATCAAATTAGCCTAATTGTATCTGAAGCTAATGTCATAAATGTTTAAGAATGCTTCAAGTAACTGTTTTTCAGCATGTTCCTAAAATGTTCACCACCAGTATCACCACTACCACCACCAGTACCACCACTACCACCACCACTACCACCACCAGTATCACCACTACCACCACCAGTACCACCACTACCATTAACACACAACCCCACACTTGCCTTGGCTAGTGCAGTTCTGTTAATATAATTTATATATATACATGTATATCAATAACAACACTGCGGCATAGTGTTTCCCCTGTCATCTTCCATCACAGGGATGAGTAACATAGTACTGGAATGTGATAGCCAGAGCTGGCAGACTTCAGCAGGGTGATATGGTCAAGTGATATGGATGTCAAGAATTGGAGCATTTGGTTAGCAAAGTTGTTTTGACAGCCAGCTTGATACCCTGTTTCTTTTGGTGATTTTGATATTTTAAGTCTCCTGTGGTTGTATCGACATCTGGTATATTCTACTCTTATTCTATCTCTTCAGTTTTCCATGCTTATTTTACCTCAGATAATTATAATCAAAGGTATATAATACCAACAAGTTGAATAAGAGACATGTAACACATTGGTATCTCTGAAAGATGTTCTGCCCACTAGGGACTTTATTGATAAAGCCCTTGGTAGGCATAACTTCTCTCAAAGGTACCCAAAGTGTTATACATGTACATCTTTTATTTGCCACCCCAGATAATGGTTAACCCCTTTACAGTAACTGCAATTTTTTTAAACAAAATTTAAACCCACAGAAAGCTTCTGATCCCTGTGACTTTGGCTACATAGATTAAATAATCAAATGACTATTTACATATGGCTACCATTATTGTAATGGTAGTCCTATAGGTTTAAGGATTGTTATGCATTGGGAATTAAATCTCTAGACTGTAGAATAAGACTTTAACTCTGTTAGCCTTGACATCCAAGGCATTACAAGATTGACCTTAAGGACACAAAATCCACTGGCAAGCTCTACAACCTTATGCCCTAAGACCTGTTTCTGCCTATCAGTTGCATGCTCATGTTGGAGAAAGACTTGCCACCATGTTTAACTGTGGCAAAATTTTAAATTGCCGTTTGGTATCATAGGGAATATGGACACTGATCATTCTACGAGACCAGGAACAGTCATGGGTTAGAGTATGTTGTAACAGGGTTACTACCTTAGGAAATGTGGATGAATATTATGTATATGGAATGAAAGGAAGCTGAAACCCATAAGGGTAGAGAAAGAGAGGACTGGCAGGAAGCTTTGATGCTTGTGTGGACCCCATTCTCCCTCATTCACCTCAGTTGTTAAGTACTGTACAACTTCTTGGGTTCCTGTATTGTCATTCACACTAGACTAAAACTTAAACAGTGACTTTTACGTACAGTAAATCCTTGATTAAACATATTTCGGTTTAATGGACTTTAGAAATGAGACAGACTATCGGGTCATTTGATTTGGAAATGCTGGACAAAATCTGTTGGTTACAGAATTGTTCATTATTATTACAATCACAGCAAAACACTCATTTGTATCCACCCTAATTTCCTCTACTAGACATCCGCTTCCCTGTTAGTCCATTAAATCAAGAGTTTACTGTATTAATATGTATGCATATATTAAAAGATTATCAAAAAATATAGTAAAACCTCAATTTCCCAGACCTCCATTTCACAAATTTAGGAAATAAAAACATTATTTGTTAAATTGATTTTGAAAACAACATACAAGATCCACTGGGCACAGAATTGCTCAATACTTTTATGGCCCATAAAGGAAATATTGCAGAAATAATTGGTAAAATCTGCTGGATACAGAATTTTATGTAATTATCACAGCAAAATAATCTTGGCTATCTGCTCCTTTATTTTTCAGTGTTTTCTTCAGTATATCTTTATACTGCATTATATGTACAGTAGAGTACTGTAGTGCTTTTCTTTATCATTTTCAACATTGCAGTATTTAGTTACCATCATGTGGCACTACCAGACATCTTTTAACTCCCCTGTTGGTCCATTAAATTTCTGTATTCATTAAAATATACTAGTATTGTAACCCTGAATTGTATAAATGATCAGTATGAAGTGCAGAAACTGTATAACTAACTTTTATTTTATTTTATTTTTTTTTATTAACACATCGGCTGTCTCCCACCAAGGTAGGGTGGCCCGAAAAAGAAAAACTTTCACCATCATTCACTCCATCACTGTCTTGCTAGAGGCATGCTTACAATACAATTATAAAGCTGCAACATTAACATTTGACTTTTCTTGCAGGTTATTGATGGTGGACAAGGGGAACTAGACATTAACTTTTATATTGCTGGCCCATTAGGACAAGTGCTTGTGCAAGATTTGCGGAATGCAGATGGATCCCACAGGTGGGTGACAGGATTTTGTATACTATATACAGTATTATATACCAAGATGTATCTATATGGTTGTCAGTAATCCATGTTATCATTGAGTAATCCATATCCAAATGCATGGTTGAAATTAACTAAATTTGTATTATTCAGTAAACAAAGAATATTCTATGGACAGTTTCAGACATCTATGTAGAACTATATAAGTCAAAGGGCAATTAGAGAAACCTCTCAGAGAGCTAAGGAGTATTATGACTACCATGGTAACAAGGCTAAATTTAGAATAATTTACTTCACAATTGTTTAAAAATTTGTGATTTAGTGCAGCACTGTTGTAGAGCATTTTGCATAGCTGATCCTGGACCTTAAAGATTTATCTGTTTAGTGTTTCTACATATTATTTTTTATTATTTTTTTTATTATCACACCGGCCGATTCCTACCAAGGCAGGGTGGCCCGAAAAAGAAAAACTTTCACCATCATTCACTCCATCACTGTCTTGCCAGAAGGGTGCTTTACACTACAGTTTTTAAACTGCAACATTAACACCCCTCCTTCAGAGTGCAGGCACTGTACTTCCCATCTCCAGGACTCAAGTCCGGCCTGCCGGTTTCCCTGAATCCCTTCATAAATGTTACTTTGCTCACACTCCAACAGCACGTCAAGTATTAAAAACCATTTGTCTCCATTCACTCCTATCAAACACGCTCACGCATGCCTGCTGGAAGTCCAAGCCCCTCGCACACAAAACCTCCTTTACCCCCTCCCTCCAACCCTTCCTAGGCCGACCCCTACCCCGCCTTCCTTCCACTACAGACTGATACACTCTTGAAGTCATTCTGTTTCGCTCCATTCTCTCTACATGTCCGAACCACCTCAACAACCCTTCCTCAGCCCTCTGGACAACAGTTTTGGTAATCCCGCACCTCCTCCTAACTTCCAAACTACGAATTCTCTGCATTATATTCACACCACACATTGCCCTCAGACATGACATCTCCACTGCCTCCAGCCTTCTCCTCGCTGCAACATTCATCACCCACGCTTCACACCCATATAAGAGCGTTGGTAAAACTATACTCTCATACATTCCCCTCTTTGCCTCCAAGGACAAAGTTCTTTGTCTCCACAGACTCCTAAGTGCACCACTCACTCTTTTTCCCTCATCAATTCTATGATTCACCTCATCTTTCATAGACCCATCCGCTGACACGTCCACTCCCAAATATCTGAATACGTTCACCTCCTCCATACTCTCTCCCTCCAATCTGATATTCAATCTTTCATCACCTAATCTTTTTGTTATCCTCATAACCTTACTCTTTCCTGTATTCACCTTTAATTTTCTTCTTTTGCACACCCTACCAAATTCATATCAGAAAATATAAAATGGGTTATCCCTACTCACTTAAGATAAGGATTTTTATTGTTTATGGAATTTTAATCTTCAGAACAACGATGTCAGAAGAAGCCGATTATCGGATCTGTTGGGACAACACATTTTCTCACTTCAATTCAAAAACTGTTTTCTTTGGAGTCATGATAGAAAATGAAGATGATGACGATGACGATCTTTGGGATGCTGGATTAGAAGCTAGCGTCACTGCAGAAGAGATATATGAAATGAAGATAGAGGACATGAAGGTAAAGATTTCATTTTCATTGCACAGACTATAACATAAGCTGTTTTCATATTTGATGGATGCCTCTTGTTTATCTTGTACATGTATATACTGCATATTGTTAAGTGAATTTTTGAAAATGTGCAAACCAAGCCAAACCTTAGGTTTACAGGAGATATAATGGACTTCTCTTCATAGGTACAGTAGTTAATAATTTATTTAAAGTTGTGTTTCTGTTTGTGTGACTGCACAAATAGCACATTTTCTAGTCATGTTTCTCTTTTTCTGTAACAGTAGGTTCAGGAAAGTTTTTACCAGGCCTTAGGCATGAGGTTTTTGCCTGGCTTCAGTCAAAAAGGGTTATTTCAGTATGTTTGTCACCTATTGCAGATTGTTGGGCTTGCTGGTATCTTTTGATTATTAGTTTAATGACAGCTAAATGAAAATCTAGTTGGGGTGTATATTATGTATTCAGCATTTAGCATAGTCATATCAGAGATGGAAAAAAAAAATTCATGTACAGTGGTACCTCGAGTTTCGAACATCTCCCAACTCAAATAATTATGTAAGTGTATTTTTGGGGGTCTAAAACGGACTAATCTAATTTACAATATTCCTTATGGGAACAAATTCGTTCGGTATCGGCACTTGAACAGCCTTCTGGAACGAATTAAGTTCGTAAATTGAGGTACCACTGTACTACTTGAAACTTTTTCTAATATTTTGTATGAACTCAATTTGCATGTTTGATTTGCCAACCAAATGTATATTTTTACTGTAATCAGTTGTTTCAAATTATTTTTTCTTTTACCTTTGTTTACCTTATCAGTTTATACCATTATACTATATATGTTTGTGAGGTGCATTTAATCACTCATCAGGTAACCTGAATAACATGATATCATTGGTACGAAACTACTGCATCGAGCTAAAGTATTGCCCAAAATGTTTTTGGAAGGGGAATATGTATTTCCTCCTTGCTCTCACTGTGCCACACATTCTTGCCTTATTGACAGGTAGATAATCACAAAATAGTCAGATTATGAAGAGTCTCAGGTGTAGTGAGATTAGCAACAGTGCTGAAGATTGAAGCAATGATACATTTGAATGGTTTTTGCAGAAATAATGTATCATTCAAATTCATTAATAAAAATACAAACCATCTGAATCAAGATATAGCTGGCTCTTCAGCTTTGCATACCTCTAAACCCATTCCTACATAAATAAAACAACATATATACAGTATGTCACTGTGTCATTGTGACTGCAATTTGATGGTAAGGGAAGTGAAGACAAATACAACTAAGCTAGAAATTGTGATCTACTTGCTACTTTGTACATGCTTGCTTCTCTATATCCTGAGGATATAGAGGAAAAGTGCTAAACCTGTAGGGGCATAGGCCAAACCAACTTTTGCTAAATGGGCAATGCCTATAAAAATTACAACTGATGATGCTGTATTTCTGGCATGTGTAAATTAGGAACAAATCATACTGTATAAATTATTGTACTTAAATGAGTGTTTCATCACTACGTAAATGTAAAAAGAAGAAAAACTACTGTTTATTTGTTTTTTGGGTCACCCTACCTCAGGGGAGGACAGCTGGTATGTTAAAAAAAAAAAAATTTAAGTAATGTATATACTGGCATATACATTAACCCGTAAACGGTCCAAGCAGATCTACGTTCACATGTGTAGTGCTACAAAAGTAGATCTACGTTTTTTTTACATATTTTCAAATATAACAAAAAAAGAGTAGATCAAAGTTTTTTTACACATTTTCAAATGTAAAAAAAAAAAAAAAAAAGATCTACTTTTTTTACATACTTTCAAATGTTGAAAAAACGTATATACAGTGGACCTCCGCTTAACGATCACCTCCAAATGCGACCAATTATGTAAGTGTATTTATGTAAGTGCGTTTGTACGTGTATGTTTGGGGGTCTGAAATGGACTAATCTACTTCACAATATTCCTTATGGGAAAAAATTCGGTCAGTACTGGCACCTGAACATACTACTGGAATGAAAAAAGTTCGTTAACCGGGGGTCCACTGTATAAGTTTGGACCGTTTATGGGTTAATATAAGACTTTAATCCAAGTATAACAGTTACTGATGCATGGCAGAGGTGAAAATAATGCCATGGCACATTACTTGGAAGAGAAGTGACGTCACTAGTCCACTGATGCTGTCATGCTAGTACCATAACTTGTACCACAGTTGCAAGATTTATTTGCCGTTATTTACCTGTTTTACTTTTGTTGCCCAAACACATTTTTAATAAAATGTCACCTTTTATTAAAATAATACATAAAACTCCAGAAAATAGCAAAAATTAAAGCTGGAGAAAATAAGATACATATACTGCTTCCTAATATTTCCCTAAGGGTGCATGTCATTTCACTTACACTCTGGACAGTCTAATGGAAGTAGTGCTTCCTGATTTTGGGCAGGAAAGGGCAGGGGGAAAGTTGACTTATTGGGTGAATATATCCCTAAACCTTAATTAAGACTTCAAAATTTTAGGGGTTGACTTGTCTACTGGCAAATAAAAAAAAAAGTATGCATTGTAAGGTGGTAAGACACATTTATGAGTGACTTTAGGCAGGAAGTAGGGATATCCCTTTTGCCCTCAGCGAGCAAGGAATCTGCTAATTAGGGTACAACATAATATTGGCAGTGTTTAAAAAATCTGTATAGAATTGGTACTTAGTCCTGATGCTTTACTATCTTCCACAACTCTAGGATGCAATGGACAGGATTCGTGGTCACCTTACCAAGTCAAGATTCATGCAGGATCAACTTCGAGCATATGAAGCACGTGATAGAAATGTTGCTGAGAACAATTATAGCAAGGTCAATATGTGGTCACTAATTAATATATCAGTGATGTTGGTCACAGGAATAATTCAGGTGAGATAGTTCACATGACTGCTTTTATTTTACTCCTTGATTGGTACAGAAGCATTTTATAGTTTTTCTATAAAATACAATGAAAATCCTAAATACAATTTCCATTAATTTAATTGTTTTTATTCAACTTTTGAAATTTTAGGTTTATGAATTATGAATGATTGTGTAACTTAGTTATTATATTTTTATTTCTTATCTACAGGTCATATTATTGAGAAGCTTATTTGACGACAAGTCCCGGCTACATGGACTATGGAAAAAGGGTGCGGCATCAACATTTTCTTAGTTGTTTTAACTGGATGGCTAATTTTAATGATATAATATCCCTTTATGATCAAAGCTTGAAAGAAGCAAAATGGTCACGTGTGTCATATATGGCATAAAAAAATGTTCATCTCATCGTATGATGGATGGCTTAGTGCTTGCGTGTTGCAAGAATAAGTTGATACTTACTGGTTAGCAGCTGCATCACAACCACCAAGTACATATACATATACATTATACACACACCTACACTATACACACACACACACTTATGTATACATGCATATATACACATGAAAAAACTTTTGTATAGTACTAGGAAAATTTATGACTTGATAGAGGATGTCCATAAGTTGTATTGTCAAAAGACATATTTTAAGGCATTACCAATTCAGTTTAAATTTTAAGTATATTGTACTCAGATGGGCATTTTATTAATTTTTTCTGTTTTTAGCGTATTATTTTTGAACATGATTTACACAAATTATGAATGGCAATAATGTAAAAAGTGTGGAAATCAGTATTTAGTATGTGTTTTATGTAGTGTCTTATGTGATACAGTAATTTGTGTGCATGTGTGTTTTTGTAGTGACCATTTTTTTTTTTTTTTTTTTTTTTTTTTTTTACATCTTTGGCTGTCCTTTACCATATTGGGTGTCTCAGACAAGGAAATACATTTGCAATCATTCATTTAATCACTGTCTTGCCATAAGTGTGCTGACATTGTAATTCAGATTACCTTCTGACTGCAACATCCTCACTCCTCCTTCAGAGTGCAGGTGCTGCCCTTCTCATCTCCATTTACCCAGTTTCTCTGAATCCTCTCATAAATGTTACCTTGCTCATACTAGTCATGTATTAATTTGACAAGTGGGAAGCTCAAACCCATGGTGCTTAGCATCCCGGCCAAGTCAGAAATTGGCAAGAAAAATGGTGTAATTTTGCTGAATTGAAGAAAGATCAAAATGGAGATATTGGCAGGGCTCGTGAAATGCACAAGAAGTAGGATTGGTAAGGTAGGAGCAGATAGCCTAGTCAGTAAGCTCCTCGAGGGAGGTTCCTTGTTGCTGGTGAGGGGCTCTTGATCTAGAAAATTTGATATGTGCTCCTGTTCCCTGAATTGAGCCTGAATACCTTCCATCCCCGCACACACAGGTGCTGTATAATCCCTACAGGTTTAATGCTCCCTCATGATTATAATAATAATAATAGTAAGCATACCATCTGTTTATGGTGTGCATGTGTGTATGTGTGCAGTTGTTTGTTTTATTGACATTTTTACATATTGATTAACTATAACTAAAGATTTGGTAAAGTAGATAACTTTTTCTTTTTGACATTAGTGATTGCTCATGGTACATCATATATGTTCATAGATGCCAGTTTCCTCAGCTGTTGTAAAGAAACCATAATTGTGTTCAGCAGGTTTGTCCTGTAAAACTGTTTTCCCTTCAAAGTTTTGCTGTGATTAGTGCCATTGTTAAGTGAACTTTAGTGTAAAATATCAAGTTCTTATCGTTGGAAAATAATTAATTTATAATATTTTAACCTAAATGATGATCATATTGTATATGAAATGAATCAAAATTTGGTAAGTGTTAACTGAAAGTGTGAGGTGTGAAAAAATCTAACTGCAGGTGTAAATCTAAGAGTTTTACCCTTTAAAGAAATAACTGCAATTAATTCATATGAAGACTGACACCATTCACCAATTTAGTTAGAACAGATATTGTACCATTCACCAGTTTGGTTAGTACAGACATCATTCATTCATTCACTAGCTTGGTTAACTCACATGCCAGTCATTAGTTTGGTTAGCTTTAATAATTCTTGTAATAATAGTGTTACTATTTATACTTGAAGCTGAAGGCTGCATACTGTTGAATGTTCAAACCTAAGTGAAGTTCGTACAAGTGTAACAGCTATCAGTATATGCAAATTAATAACTTGTGCATTTCATCTTGGGTATTTTATGTATAGAGGTTGCATTAAGAGAGGCATAACAGTAAAGATATTTCTGTAATTCAATGTATAAGGTGCAAGTAAAGCCTACTGAAGATCTTGTTTAGGTTTTGTGTATCATATTTTTACTTGGGTTCCATGATTTATATTTATGGAAAGAGATTAGACTTATTGAGTGCAATGTAGATAATCTGTTGTTTTATAGTTGTATTGTTATTTTATCATTTATAGATCATTTCTTCCTGCAGATAGATGCTAGTTGTGTGAATTAATTTTTCATTTTATTTGTGGGTAATTAGATTTTAGTTTATTATGAATATCTTAGTGACATTGGAAGACAGAAGTACAGTAAGTCACCAGTGACCAATTACTGTATTGCCTATTTTTTTATGAATTTCTTTTAAACCTTGTACAAACTGCTTATTGATAAAAATTATAATTTTTATAATAAATATTTTGTTACTAGTCTCCCTTTAGCAGTAGTAATACAAGAGATAAATCACATTGTAATTACTTTCATTATCAAAATTTGTAAAATAATTATATTGATCACTGTAATGCATTAGTAAATTGTTTTTGGCATTTTACCCATGTAAATAGCTGCAGTCATATCCCTAAGAATGACTACAGTAATATTTCTTACTTGGAATTATTGCTGATTCAGAGTTTAAACTTTGTTAATAAATTACAGTGACTCCCAAATTCAAAATTTTTTTATGAATCAGAGTAAAATACTGGATTGTATTTGAAATTTTAAGAATAAGAACAGTCTTTACATTTTTATTGGAAATATACAGTATATCTGATTAATTTTTCAGTGAGAGTTCTGATTTTTAAATTGAGAAATATAGTCTTGTCTGGAATTTTTTTTGAATGATCGTATAATCTAATTTGTAATTTATATTTATGTGATTGAATTTCAGAAGTTTACTATGCAGTGCATGGGCATTCTTTAAGTGCACATTAATCTGAATAAGAAAGAGATCCTTGTATATTATATAGATAGTACTGGTTCAAGAGATAACTTAGTATACCTAGTTGCCAAGAGTTTCCAGTGCCAGCCATCATAGCTTCCTGAATTAAGCCAACATCTCATGGCTATGCCATTGGTGTGTATGAATAAATAACACTACAAAATTTTTTTACAGTATTGGTTCATTATTAGGCTTCATCTAGCAACAGCTTAACTTAATAAGGTACCTTATTTTTTCTCTATATAAGGCATTTAAAATGTGTGCTTGTGTGTGTGCACGTGCATGTGCTTGCCTGCATGCATTCAGTGTAGTACAGTGTTTAAAATATATTTATGTGAGGGATGTTGAAGATTAATATCCTTGAAACATATGTTTTAAGAATTAAAGCATGTTAAATACATAGTGGCTTTTAGTTTTTCTGTTATTTAATGCCTGCCTAAACATCTGATGTAATCAAGGAAGAAATTTTTAGAAAATTTCTAATTGCAGTTTGCAAAGCTTTACAGTTAACATTATTGTGATCATTGTAAAGTCAGAACATCCATTTGTAATTTATATTATATAGTATTCACCTAATTTTTACAAGTGTTTTGAATAAAAAGTATCCAAAAAGTAAATAATTTAACCTTTCCTCAAGTGCATTTAATTATATTATAAAAAGAAAAAATCAAACCTTTATGGGTCATACAGTACTGCAGCAAGTACATGCATGTGCGCGTGCACGCACAAACTTGATGGGGTTAGGGATCAGTAATTGTACAAAATGTCATAATTAGTGCTGTAGGCTAGTTTTCTAAGCCATATAGCGAATCTGCTTTGAAAGGAAGGTTAAGCAAGGAGAGCAATTAGTATGACAGCATTGCAGATGTCAAAAGTGAAATCCACATGATCTGATAAATAGGGCAGTCTAAAAAGATATGACAAACTTAATGTGACCTGGTCCTTGTAGAGGTATTGGGCATCACTACTTGAGGTATGTGTTAAAGATGTACGTAACAGATTCGGGCGAGTGTGCTTTCCCATATATTACTGATGCAAAAAACATAGCCAGAAAACTAATTGTGTTTATACAGTATTAGGAGGAAAAGTGTACGGTAGGGTTATTATTGAAAGAATTAGAGGTAAGACAGAATGTAGAATTGTGGATGAGCAAGGAGGTTTTAGAGTGGGCAGGGGATGTGTAGATCAAGTGTTTACATTGAAGCATATATGTGAACAGTATTTAGATAAAGGTAGGGAAGTTTTTATTGCATTTATGGATTTAGAAAAGGCATATGATAGAGTGGATAGGGGAGCAATGTGGTAGACGTTGCAAGTATATGGAATAGGTGGTAAATTACTAAATGCTGTAAAGAGTTTTTATGAGGATAGTGAGGCTCAGGTTAGGGTGTGTAGAAGAAAGGGAGACTACTTCCCGGTAAAAGTAGGTCTTAGACAGGGATGTGTAAAGTCACCATGGTTTGTTAATATATTTATAAGTGGGGTTTGTAAAAGAAGTAAATGCTAGGGTGTTCGGGAGAGGGGTGGGATTAAATTATGGGGAATTAAATACAAAATGGGAAGTGACACAGTTACTTTTTGCTGATGATACTGTGCTTATGGGAGATTCTAAAGAAAAATTGCAAAGGTTAGTGGACGAATTTGGGAATGTGTGTAAAGGTAGAAAATTGAAAGTGAACATAGAAAAGAGTAAGGTGATGAGAGTATCAAATGATTTAGATAGAAAAAAATTGGATATCAAATTGGGGAGGAGGAGTATGGAAGAAGTGAATGTTTTCAGATATTTGGGGGTTGACGTGTCAGCGGATGGATTTATGAAGGATGAGGTTAATCATAGAATTGATGAAGGAAAAAAGGTGAGTGGTGCATTGAGGTATATGTGGAGGCAAAAAATGTTATCTATGGAGGCAAAGAAGGGAATGTATGAAAGTATAGTAGTACCAACACTCTTATATGGGTGTGAAGCTTGGGTTGTAAATGCTGCAGCGAGGAGGCAGTTGGAGGCAGTGGAGATGTCCAGTCTAAGGGCTAAGGGCAATGTGTGGTGTAAATATTATGCAGAAAATTCGGAGTGTGGAAATTAGGAGAAGGTGTGGAGTTAATTAAAGCATTAGTCAGAGGGCTAAAGAGAGTTTATTGAGGTGGTTTGGTCATTTAGAGAGAATGGATCAAAGTAGAATGACATGGAGAGCGTATAAATCTGTAGGGGAAGGAAGGTGGGGTAGGGATTGTCCTCGAAAAGGTTGGAGGGAGGGGGTAAAGGAGGTGTTGGCGAGGGGTTTGGACTTCCAGCAAGTGTGCGTGAGCGTGTTAGATAGGAGTGAATGGAGATGAATGGTATTTGGGACCTGATGAGCTGTTGGAGTGTGAGCAGGGTAATATTTAGTGAAGGGATTCAGGGAAACTGGTTATTTTACATAACCAGACTTGAGTCCTGGAAATCGGAAGTACAGTGCCTGCACTCTAAAGGAGGGGTTTGGGATATTGGCAGTTTCGAGGGATATATTGTGTATTTTTTATATGTATATACTTCTAAACTGTTGTATTCTGGGCACCTCTGCAAAAACAGTGATTATGTGTGAGTGAGGTGAAAGTGTTGAATGACTATGAAAGCATTTTCTTTTTGGGGATTTTCTTTCTTTTTGGGTCACCCTGCCTCGGTGGGAGACGGCTGACATGTTGAAAAAAAAAATATATATATATATAAATATATATATATATATATATATATATATATATATATAATATATATATAATATATAATATTATAATATATATATATATATAATATATATATATATTATTATTATTATTATTATTATCATCACACTGGCCGATTCCCACCAAGGCAGGGTGGCCCGAAAAAGAAAACTTTCACCATCATTCACTCATCACTGTCTTGCCAGAAGGGTGCTTTACACTACAGTTTTTTAAACTGCAACATTAACACCCCTCCTTCAGAGTGTAGGCACTGTACTTCCCATCTCCAGGACTCAAGTCCGGCCTGCCGGTTTCCCTGAACCCCTTCATAAATGTTACTTTGCTCACACTCCAACAGCACGTCAAGTATAAAAACCATTTGTCTCCATTCACTCCTATCAAACACGCTCACGCATGCCTGCTGGAAGTCCAAGCCCCTCGCACACAAAACCTCCTTTACCCCCTCTCTCTCCAACCTTTCCTAGGCCGACCCCATACCCCGCCTTCCTTCCACTACAGACTGATACACTCTTGAAGTCATTCTGTTTCGCTTCATTCTCTCTACATGTCCGAACCACCTCAACAACCCTTCCTCAGCCCTCTGGACAACAGTTTTTGGTAATCCCGCACCTCCTCCTCCTCCTCCATAACTTCAAACTACGATTCTCTGCATTATATTCACACCACACATTGCCCTCAGACATGACATCTCCACTGCCTCCAGCCTTCTCCTCGCTGCAACATTCATCACCCATGCTTCACACCCATATAAGAGCGTTGGTAAAACTATGCCTCGGTGGGAGGCGACCAACTTGTTGAAAAAAAAAATATATATATAAATATATATATATATATATATATATATATATATATATATATATATATATATATATATATATATATATATATATATATATATATATATATATATATATATAACTGTCATGCCGAATATGTAAAACTGGTCAATTAGCAAGAACTCATTTAAAATTAAGTCCTTTCTAAAATTTTCTCTTATATGTTTAAAGATATATTTTTTTTTCACTAATGTTAATGTAAAATTTTTTAATTTTGCACCAAAAGAATCTTAGAAAACTTACCTAACCTTATTATAACAAGAGCAATTTATTTTAGCCTAACCCAACTAAATATATTTCAGATTTGTTTACAGTAATTTAATACTAAACAAACACAGTGAAATATATTTTTTTCGTTAGGTCCAGAATGATTTTGGCGAAATTATTGCATACACAAATTTTCCACATTGTCTTATATGGCAAATGAACGTGCTATTTAATGCCAAGATCGCAATTCTGCCTATTTCGCATGACATATATAGATATATATATAATAAAATATATAATATATATATATATATATATTAAATAAATATATTATATTTATATATATATATTAATATAAAGACATATAACAGAAAAAACATAAACAATGAATACAAGGCACAATTATCAACGATGATGAAATTTCCCCAGCTCATCCGAGGCTGGACCGTGACCAAGTATGCAGCAAACATTTCCCCCACTGGATGGCGACCCTATGAGGCGCTGAACATGAAAGTGCTGCCCTTGGGTCCCTGGTGGTGTCGATGAGTCTGGAACCCAATTCTTTAAGGAAACGTGTGGCATTTTTTCCCCATGATGCCAAGGTCTCTGATCCCACTGGGACAAATTGATACTGTTGGCTAATGTCCCTGTACTTGCTGATCTTGTACTCCTCCCTGTGGTCAGCAGCTCCTCCCTGTCGCCCCACATAAAGGA